AGTAAGCATTTGCACTCACACACTGGTTATTTATGACGTTTCATCCCAGTGGGCGGCTGATATAAGTAAGCACTTTCAAAATATGTACGGACAAACAGTTTTGTCTAGTTCCTCATGCCATCCGAAATTTCCGGCTGATTGTCGGGAATTTTGCTTCGGTAACGTGTCTATCGCCCCATGGCCATATTGAAAACGTAGCAATGTGTTTTGATATCGCTGCCATAATGAATTCAGTGCTCACTCGTTTTTATTTAAGACAAGTTTAGGATTAATGCCATGCCAGGAATCTTAGTGGTGCTCATAGGTTTGTGTGTTATCGTACTGCAGGCTCAGCGTTCATCAGTAAGCCTGACAGGTTCCGATCCTCATGAAAGTTGCCTACAATATACCTAATGTGTGAGCGAGAATCACTTGAGCTCTGTGATACAGTGAACCTAACACCGAATGATTTAATTTAAACTACTTGTGATGGTAAAGTAGCTAAACGGATAACGGGACATTTCGATTCCACGCTGATTTCTGAGTGACACTGTTCATCTGTTCTAATCAGCTACTCTCTATCGTGAGGTCTCGATCTTCGGACCTGGTTCGTTCGTTTGTTTCTTGTTCGGCGTGTGTCCAAATTTCACTGCTAACTGCTTTCTTAGTGCAGTACGAAGTCTTTGTTTTCTGCGGTCCCGACATATATTCGTATAAGTATTTGTTCTATCACCTCATCACTTAGTTTCAGCTCCAAGGTGACGCCGTGATCGCGCAATCACTCTGTGTGCACTGAAATCTGACGATCGACTTGGAGCCGGCGAGTGACAAATACAACAGGTTTGATTGTGTGACTTCACTTTCAGAACAAATATGAAATGACAAAAGAACTGAAGAGCACGAATTTCCCCCTGTTTATCACGCAGTTTTAATGTATTGTTCTATAAACGTGACAATTTTGCCTGACCGTGTGTACAACCCAGCATCAAAAAGCGTTCCAGTAGGAACAATCAACCATGGGAGGGTCTCTGTGGCCCAGGAGATAGTTCTGTAAGTTCTCTATAAGTTTTCTATAAGCATCTACTTTCGAAATTTTACGCCTGCTGGTTTATTACAGACAGCGAAAGTTCGGAACCATTCCTCCCCATGGGAAGAAATTATTTCATCACATTGATTTCTGGTATGTCCGCCTTGACCCAGTTTGAATCACATGACATCAACGGACTTTTCAAATTGAGGTATTTGGTGACCTTGTAGGTCCAGTTGGGTAAACAATTATCACCAAGAAACCACTAAAATACGAACTGAGACTTGACGTTTCGGTTATGACTCCAATAAAACTATCATACCTTCGGCATAAGTACGTTCCTCTCTAGAAGTGGGCAACCGGGCAGCATATCACCCCTCGTGCTCCCTTCGGGTGACGTAGCAACTAGGCTTCGAAACAGACGTTAGGCATGAAAACCGTTTTTGGGGAATGTTCTCATCCAGAAGTACTGGGTACAAGCGGTGAAGTGGCAATCATATCAGTGCGGCAATAACGCCTCGCTTTTGAGCTTTCATCGATGCAAAGGCTACATAATTTTAAGAAACAGACTTTCTGAGGTGGACAACAGCACTAAGGACAGAATTATTCCGGACAAATTACGGACATGCCAAGATGTGTTCAGCGGTGCGCCTGTCATCTCTCAAGATTTGCGAACATGGTCACTGACCTGGTTCAGCCGTCTCCGCGTCGTTACGGATTCTGTCTTCAAAAACTTCTCGACTACTGATCATGTAATTTAAGCTGCGAATCGTGCCATCAATGATTTCCAAATATCTCTTTATGTAGTCAGTGATTTTGCGTGCCTTTGTTTGAGCAGCCTACCAAGGTGGTCGGATCATGTCGAAATGCGAAAACATATTGTGCGATGGTTTCGTTTCGCTCAAGAAGCTGCGATAGCCTACACCAGGATTTCGCCAGTTGTTAGTCACAATATTCACTCTTCGTTATTTTTCAGATTCTGTCGTTACCATGGCAACACTACCCTTCGGAGTGTGGGTTTAACACTAGAATAAGGCGATTTTCATTTCACGTGTCTGGTATTTTGTAAACCCGGCGATGCCACAGACACCTTGTACTCGATACAGCCTATTACAGCAGTTTTTTACTGCGTTTATCCTACCGCGTTGGAACGGCCAAAATTCTCGTTGCGATGCCGGTGCGGTCAATCAAGCATGGGTACGAATGTACCCGATGAAAACTGCAACCAAATGAAACCCGAGGTGTCCTTTCCGCGTTGATTCAAGTTGTTTTATTCCTAATGCTTCCTTTGAAGCAACTTTCAAGGTTTTCGTCGGTTTCAACTGAGCAGCTGGCATCTGGAACATAGTACGCACAACTTGTTTCTGTTGACAGCAAATGTGCAGCCCTATTGGGAATGAGATCGAAACCTTACTACAGGACATCTCTGAAAGAAACGATATCGTACGGTATAAGCGTACGACGTTTTCAGCAAAAGTCACGGACAGTGGGTTTTTAGGTCCAAAACTTGGTAAGCTTGGCAGAAATCTTCAATTCTTGTCAAACTACCAAAGACCTTTGATCAGTTTTGTGGACCACAGTCTCCTTAATGCCTTCTTATTGCCGTGAACCCCAGTCTGGATAGCCTATCGGTAGCCTGGTGCGCTCGGTCAAACCAGAAAATCAACGAACGCGCGAACCGGCTGATCTGTTGATCCCTGTCGAGTACAAGCGGGTCAAAAAAGTGATACTATGAGTACAACTCATCTGTCAAGGGCGAGTGAAGAACAACCAATGAAATCTGTCTCAACGAAAACGGTTATTCCATTGGCTGTTATGTAGTCCCGTTACTTTCGGAGCTGGTTCTTCTAATAATCAGTTTAACCCAAAGTCTTGAGCTAAGAAGCCTTTCTTTTGAAGAGCTAGTCAGCACGCGACTAGGTGATGGGAAGAAGATGACGAACGAAGAAACTGGACCTTGCCTTTGGTGTGACGGTCTGTGTGCCTCCGCGACCCACTGAGACATACCAGGGGTGTCCGGACGATACTCGCCGAGTCTCTCATACCAGGTTGATCAGTGGTTAAATGTCTGACCAACACCTTATCCTGGCCCCCAGGTTGGAGGTTAGAACTTGTCCTGTAAAGATGCAAACACACCTGAATTTCCCGCTAAGCACCGCTGCCTTGCGGTCAAGTCTTTAAAGCAGATGCTTTTGTTGAAAGCCCTAGTGGTCCTCCTGTCTAGGTTTGGACGTCCTGGCAGTACCCCAGCCCACGTACAATCATGAACTGCACACATACGATGACGACGACAAAGGGTGAGTGTCGTTCACTTGTGGTAGACTACGGAAAATGCTATTTGAGCACCATAAATATTTCATCTTCTGTAATTATACCAAAGACCCTTCGCCAATTATTGAAGCACACGTTATTTTGCAGAACACTAAGACATCACACTACACATTCTGTACTTCTAAACGTAACCAGGCCTGAACGTCCTACAGGTCATGTAGGGCGCGTCAAATGTTACGTAAGTTGTTACGATTCCATATGCACATGATAGGGGGAATTGAAAGCTTCTTTGAAAGACAAAGTTATGCATGCAGCATCTTCCAAGACATTTCATAATGGAAAAGTGGCGTCCATGAAAAGAAAAGTGTTTGACTTTGCTGGTTTGGGGAATTGTGATGTCAGTATGACTTGGGGTGAACGAGACGGCTTGCGTTTCGACTGACCGTCCGTGACAGCTGAAGATTTCTTTTCTATAGGACCGGCACTTGAAAAGCCATGCAAGGCATAACAACTCGTGTTTCATTCTTTAGGGATCAGATAGGTGTAATCGTATTTGAGCAGGGTAATGCCGTAGTTCCCTAAGTCGCTAAAATCACAGACATCGTTATAAAGTAGTGTAATAATAATAATTGTTCAGCTGTAACACCCTTTCGGTGCCTAGCTGCCGTGCCACCCGAGGGTTGCACGAGGGCTGGGATACTGTCAGGTTGCCCAAGCCTTGACAGGGGAATTCGAGAGACCACGAACCTTCCGATCGGTAAATTCGCGCTCTAACTAGTTGGGCCATCTCGCCCCGCTGTTACAAAGTATTTGGGAACTCGACTAACCTATTTGTGGTCCACAACTATTCGATGTCTAATGCTTGTGGAAAAATTTAACTTGTCCTGTGTACACAGTGACCGCCATAAAGTGACTGCGGGCATCAGCCATGTTGAAAATTCGTTAGGATAAAGGTGTCATGTTTTAGCAAGGGTGTGTTGGACAAC